CCAGCGCCTCCTGCACGCCGCTGAACAGCTGTTCCTCGGCGTGCAGGAGGCACAGGGAGAGAGGTGGTGGAGTTGATCAGTGGGGCCCCCAGTTTGCGAAACACTAAGTGATCATTGAGTTTTCCTCTACTATTTTAAAAGTTCTGAGCAGCTTTTTTAAACAATAGATCAAACAACTTTTGCACTTCTTTTCTTTAAATATTATTTTTTGTTTGGCTATTTTTTTCCACATACAAATATAAAGCACAATTTATATGAATATAACCTTATTTTATTTGTAGTAGATCCCAGAAGTCCTGCTCCAATTAGGATTGCAGCTTTGTTATACTGGGTGCTGTGCAAAACATAGACACAATCCATGTCCTGAAGAACTTACAATCTAAAAATTTATAGTATACAAATGTCATACATAAAACAATATGCATTACATATTACAAATACCTTTTTAATAGAATGGTAAATTTGTTTACATTTTTTTTGTTCTGCTGTAAATTTTTATTTATGGTAATGACCCCAATGTTCTAGATCAGTGGTGTCCAGCCTTTTCAGCCTGATGGCTGAACACATTTCTAAAAGGTTAAGGAGACATACACCTCTACCCCGATATAACGTGACCCGATATAACACGAATTCGGATATAACGCACTAAAGCAGCGCTCCGGGGGGGCGGTGCTGCGCATTCTGGTGGATCAAAGCAAGTTTGATATAACTTACCTATAACACTGTAAGATTTTTTTGGCTCCCAAGGACAGCGTTATATCGAGGTAGAGTTGTACCTAGTACTTCAAGACAGATTCTGTTGAACTTTCCTGGCTAGTTCCTATGCCTCCCTCCTTACAACCTGTGATGAAAGGTGTGTGTGGGGAGCAGAGCAGCGGAGTGGCTGTGGCATACTGCTTTTCAGTATCCCCGATGGCATTGATCCCATGACCGTAACCAGCTGGAACAAGTTGGGGCAGCCAACTGGTTTCTCTAACCTGTGCTGAGATGGGCAGAGAACAAGGGAGATGTAACTGGTGGCTGATTCTCCGATTCTCCTTACTCCTTTTCCTGGGTTGCTGTGGGTTGTATGAGAAAGGGGAGCCATCCTTTGTTAGGTGCTCTCCTTGGCTCAGGCTCATAGCCAGTTGAGTTTCCATCCTGCTGTCTCTGAAGCTCCCGCAGCCTGTCAGGGAAGAAGGCAGTGGAGTAGCCAGAGTTACTGACCTCTCTTCTATAATGTAGCAGGGGACTTTCTGAGCAGCTGCAACAGGGAAGGGCCAGGAGCTGCTTGCTCTGAGTGCTCCCAACTCTCATCAGAGCTGTTCCTTGGGCTGCAGGGAAAGAAGCTTTGGGAGGATTTGGGGATGTGATGCTTTCTGCCTCCTTCTTGTAGTTATGTGGATGATTCAAGCACTTACTTTAACATTGCAGAGCGTGGCTGTGGGAGCACAAGTTTTACCTTATCAAATACTCATTAATACATACATTCACCCTGAGAAGTCACAATTTAGAGCCCCAAAGGCCACAAGTGACCTCTGGACCACAAGCTGGATATCAATGCACTGCATACTACATAAAAAGGTCATTTGATCTAAAACAAACAAAATTAAGAGTGGTCAATTATAGAGTCACTTTTGATTATAAAATTCTTGATAAAATGATTTTTTTGTTTATATAAATATGACGACTCCCCATTTACTCTGTGGCCTTGGGAGCCAGTTGTTTTCTTCACAAAGGAAGTAGTTCAGAAGGGATTTGTGTTTGGAAAGGGAGGTGACCTTGTGGACCAGGCAAGGAAGACATTTCCAGGTGTAGGGCTGGCACAGAAGAAGATAGCGGTCACTGTGAGAAGGATGTGAAGACAAAATTGTCTGAAGCATAAAGTTGGGCATTGTTTGCTTGAAGCAAATATTCAAGCTCTTTGGAGCTCAGCCATTCTGATTTTCTCCATTGGAGAATAGGAACATTAATAAAAAGTGATATTGTATATAAAATTTTCCACATTTTTAAGGTGGTAAAATCTTGCACTCAAAAGTTAGAAGATGTCAGAATTAAGGTTGCCCGTAAGAGGAGTTTTTTCTCGGCAAAAAGTAGAGATTATGACTGCCACCTGTGCCAAAAGTATAAAGAGGCCAGAGTGGTTAAAAAAACCAAGCTTTTTATTGAAATCAGATTTTTTGTTTACATTAAACATATTTTTCTTTAAAAAAATAAACCTGTTTAAAATTAAATTTGAAATTTTGACTTAGATGCGAAACTTACTGTAATTTATAAATAAAAATACATTGAAATTAAGATACGAAGTCTAGAAGAGAATAATGAAGTGAACCTGAAACCTGTAATAGATGGGTGTGTAGTGCCTATTTGATGCATCTTCTTGTCAAACACTTACATACTCCAGGAATAAAGCAAATTTTTCAAATTGTAAAATACTTCTGCGAGTCACTTTGTTTCAGCTTCACTGAACACAGGAGGAGGATCAAAACTAATTCTCCCCCATGACGCAAGATGGCATTCAGAGGTTGACTATTGTGAGTTGTTTATTAAAAACTTGCCTATGCAGATGAAAACTTGTAAAGAAAAGCAGGACAAAATAGATGGAACTATCGCAGCCAAATGTAATCAACGTAAGACTAAACATAAGACTGAAGAGAAATGTAGAAGATATGCTAAATATACTGAAACCTGTTTCTATAACTTTGGACAAATTGCTTTATTGCTGATGCTGTTGAAGTTTGGAAAGACCTTCAAGCAACACTGCAGGATATCCAACAACAAATTTAAAGTTTGCAGTCAGTGAGCAAGCAGATGGAGAAAGCATTTATACCACCTAATTTTCTTGCTAGTATGCACAACACAAAGTACCAGGGTAGATGCCTAACAGCCAAAGAGGAAGTTACTGTCATAGATGTGGACATCTTCTAGTCATCCATCAATCACGCCATCCATAATAAATACCCAGGATGGAAGGGACCCATGTTCAAGCAGTACATGTTTACTGCTGAAGTTCTAAATCGTATCTAGAAATACACTGTATTCTGGTTAGCTGGGTATTGTTTTTGCCTTCCATTTCCTCTCAAAGGGATTGCATGGCTTATGGAATATCCTTGGCGATTGTGGGGCAGATGGCGTCTCTCCATGTGGCTTCAGCTTTTAAACAAATGGTCTAAAGAAATCTTGAGTTAAATGTTTTCCATTACAGTAGAACCTCAACGTTACGAGCGTCTTGGATATGGAGGTTGTTTGTAACTCTGAACAAAATGTTACGGCTTTTGTTTAATTTTTTTTTTACAACTGAACATTGATTTAATACAGCTTTGAAACTTTACTATGCAGAAGAAAAAATGCTGTTTTCCTTTTATTTTTTTAGTAGTTTACGTTTAACACAGTACTGTACTGTATTTGCTTTTTTTTTCTGTCTCTGCTGCTGCCTGATTATGTACTTCTGGTTCCAAATGAGGTGTGTGGTTGACTAGTCAGTTGGTAATTCTGGTGTTTGTAATTCTGAGGTTCTACTGTATTTCCTTTCATCACTTTCTATTCTTTTTCTTTATCTGGGGAAGGCTTTATATACCTAGAGCTGGCTGTTTTAGACAAGAATCAGCAGAATTTACTAAACACTTAAGTGAAAATACATGCTTGGTAGCTGCATCCATATTGAGGGTGGCCTGATGAGTAGGAAGATTCACCTCCTAGATGTGTCTTAAGTGACTATCAACAACCTTTGTTCATAAACATGGGCAGAACAGGAGCCTTCAGTTGGATTCTTTTTTATTTTCTTAGCCGTATTGTCTGTGATTGCCACACTGGCAAGGTAAATCATCTTACCAATTTAGTGTACATACAGTAAAGCAAAGTAAAGCAGGCCATGAACTACTTTCTTACCTGATGTTAACTTTGAAGCTTGTCACCATAACTTCCTCCAATAACCCTTCTTACTTTCTTTGATCTGCTGAAGTTTCACTCATCACTTGTCCCTTTGAACCTTGTCTATGCTGTACTTCTAATAGAACCTCCAGGAACTTGGTTACAGCCTGCTTCCAATTTATAATGTAGATAGTTTCTGTTTGTGTTTGTTTGGCAGTAACTTCACCTTTCACTAGGAAAGGGACTGTTGGTTTAGGTGCTTGAGATAAGTTGCATTGTAGGTGCTGCGACAAAACTCTTCTTACTGCAACTATAATGGCTTTAGACATTTGAGCTTGGAATTCTTTCACTTAGGAGTGTGAACCTATAAGCAATATATCGTATAGAACTATTCAAGTAGGCATATCTCTTAACCTTGCTTCCCAGATGGAGAAACTGAACCAGAGCAGTCCAGTGACTTCAGAAGGTCAAAGTATATTAGTGGCAGATGAAAGAATAGAAACCATGTCTCATGGCTGCTTCCCTAGTTCTAGACATAGTCTTCCCAAAACTACCAATGCAGATAAAACTTCCTGTCTTGCTTCCACCTGTCCAGCTCCACCAGAGTCTAGAACTAGCAGATCTCATCCTTCTATACTAGACAATTTTATTCATACATTGGAAGGGAAGAACAAGTTTTTTCCACTTTATCAGCTCTCTTTAGTTTCTTAACTTTGAATGATCTAGTCAGTGAACTGAACTACTTAAATGAACTGCAATGGAGAAAACAGTCTCTCTGAACCTGCACAAGAGGCTACTGCTGTCAAAAGCTGATTTAGCACTTCAGCAAACTCTGGTTCCTGGGGCTTGGCCAGTAACTTCAACCAGTTGAGTGGTTTGACTTTCTTTAAAACTTTGCAGCAGACATGTACTGCTTAATATTTTTATATTTTAATTTAAATAGATTATAGTAACCTATGCTAAGGCCCAATCTATTTAATTAAAAAAAAATCTGATTTAAATATATTCTTGATTTTTTTTTTAATTAATTTTTATCCACTCAGCTTTTTGAAAATATTTTTCCTAAGGTGGTGGTGGTTCTGATTTTGCCTTTGTTTTGTAACATAAATGGATGCTTCTTTCAGACTGATGTTGTGGGATTTTTGTTTCAGTGATGTTTTGGCACTGCCAATTTTCAAGCAGGAAGATTCCAGCCTTCCACCAGACAGCGAGACCAAACATCCACCGTTTCAATACGTTATGTGTGCTGCAACATCTCCAGCAGTCAAATTGCACGATGAAACTCTTACTTACTTGAACCAAGGTTAGTATGCGTCTTCTGCATATGTTGTTTACCGTGGATGTAGCTTAATGAATGTTGGGATGCTGAAAAGTATAGGAATGAAAAGTAGGGGTGGTATCTTCATCTTTAGAATTTCCATGTGAAAATGAAAGACCAAGAGTGCTGGGGGAGGTTTCTGCTTACAGCTTATAGCTTTGGCTGTCCATTTCAGGGACATCTAGCATGCTTATGGTATTCCTCTTATGTCTCTCCTGACCGTCATGTATGCCAGTATGTCCGACTCTCGTGACCTAGGTCCATTTCAGCAATATACCATGGTCTAAGGGCAGCGTGTAAATATGCATGTTTTAAATTAAAAAATAAATGCGCATTACATCATATTTGCTTTTATCTACATATTCCTTGATAGTTAAATACAAATTGCTTGAATTTACCAACAATAAAAACCTACAGTTGGATCATTTCTTTGGTCTGCAGTTATATGGTTAAAGTGGTCTGGGACTGTATTTTAATCACTTTTGTAATGACATTACTAAAAAGTTACAGCATATAACAGCATGTCTAATGTTAAAGTTGACTTCAGTGGGAGCTGCTGTGCGCTTAACACTGTAGAAAATGAGGTAGGTAGGCATCTAACTACAGGCACCCAATTGTTAAAATCTTGACCTTGATGTCACAGATATCTGACTTGGCATTCTGCATTTCTGCTTGTGGAGGGATACATAAGCAAATCCTCATTAGGTGAGTAACTCTCAAGACTGCACAGGCTGCTACTAAAATAAGGCTTTAGTGACTGCTACATAGGGATCAGATAGGACTTGCCACTACCGATCATATTTTAATGTTCTGTTCCCACACATTGGCTTCCTAGGAAGTCTCCTTCTACCTTAAACTTAAAGTCCAAGCACTAGACCACTGGGACAGTCTAAGAACAGGTAAGAAGAGATGGTAACAAAATGTATCATGAAACTTCAGAGGTGCTGGCAGAGGAGTTAGAGAAGCCAGCATATATGCAGAGGGTAGTAACTAAACCTCTAAAAGGTTAGAAGTGCACCCAAAACAGTGAATTAATCTTTTAGGTATTATTCTGCAAAAGTATTTTGGTAGCTACAAAGCAGTAGGAGCACCTAAAGCCAGAGAAATCTAAAAATTTAATATTAATTTAAGTTTAAAGGCGGAGGGAATCCTTCTGGGAAGGGAATGTGTAGGGATAGAAAAAATGCCACTACTGAGAGGAGACTCTGCAAATATTGGAAAAAGATACTGAAATTATTTTGCTTCATGGAAAACAAAGGTCAAGCTTACTTCTATGTAATTAACTAGAAAATCAAGCTTAAAAGACCTGTTACTGTACTAGTATGAAAGTGAAGTGTTATTTCACATTTTAAAGGATACTGTCTGAATTTTTTTGTACCTGCGGGTAGCACTCAAAATGAATATAAATAGAGAGATTTGGTATAGGTGGGATACTTCACAATTTTTATTACTTCATGCATTTGACAACATTTTATATATAATATGTTTAATTGTGTCCCCTTTATAGCTGATCAGTTTCTTTTTGTTGGTTTTCGCCCAACAATAAAGTAAAGAGACATTATTTTTAAGAGTATGAAAATGTGACTTGGAAATGCCCCCAAATGGGGAAGGAGACACGGACAGATGTATATATGAAACTAATTTTAATTAAAATTGAAAAAATTCACTAGACATTAAGGTGGTGTCCATTTTATATATGGTTGGTTAGGTTAGTTACTTGGCTGATGTTTTTATTGTGTGTTTGTTTTTTTTTTTTGAGATAATTCAAAGGTTAAAATCATTGTGCTCTTAAATGGCAGTTAACCAGGGCTCAAGCATCTGTGTAACAATCTAGGTTACTGTCAAGTCTTGGAAAGCTATTTATGACTAACGTATGTTTGAAAGGTAAATTCTGAATGTTCTATCTGTGCAAATATTTACAAAGTAACACGTACAGGTAGATGTCCTTGCAGCCCTTAAGTACTTTACTGTCTGTCTCACTTACAGGAAGCCAGTTAGATTACTTGTCATGCGAGTCTAGCCATTTTATCTAGTAGCCTATGATAGAAAGATCTTCTAGGGAAGTCCTTTCCACTAAACTTCACCAGTCAGTAGACAAACTTGGGAAGTTTTTCTCTTGCTGAGCTTAAGGGAAGAAATGCTACCATAGTGGGTAAGTTAAAAATAAAACATATAAGCCAGAGGTTCTCAAATTGTGGTCCGTGGACCACCAGTGGTCCATGAGCTCCATTCAGGTGGTCCGCAGATAGTTCCCTTTTAAGGTGCGTGCCTGGGCAGCCGCACACGAGAGAATGAAGGGCCCACCTCCTAATTAGTGGAGCCGCGCAGGAGTGGCTCCACTAATTAGGTGCCTGGACCCTGGAGAAGAGACACATGTAAGGTGAGGTGGTGGCCTTGTGGGGGGAATAGAGGATAGGTGGGAGGGGGCAGAATCCATGTATGCAGACTGTACCTACATTTAATACTGGCATGATGACCGATATCATCTTCAGATTTCCACATGAATAAGGTCACTATGTATCTTATCTTGTGGGACTTATATTTATAACCTACTCTTTCTATATTTGTTTTAAGCACCTTGAGAGTAATAGCAGTTTTTACGTGATTGAATACAAGACCATAATATATTCTCTGTGTTATGTAAGAGGTCTGACTAGATCATAATGCTCCCTTCTGGCTTAAAATATTTGGAGTGGGGTGTGTGTACTGCATGTATTTGTTTTGGATCTTCCAAGATGGAAGGGACCACTTATAATCAAGAAGGATTTAACTGGAATAAATGCTTCTAAGAAAAATATTTTACATGTAAGTACATTGTTTGGGCTCTAAGTACTGAATGTGAAAGGGAATTTGTGTAGGCCCATCCTGTCTGGGTCTTCTGGATTGCATTTCCTTCATTGGTATCTCAGTGAGGAATATATGTAATTATTTTATGAATGGTTCAGGAAAATACCTAAATTTATTATAATAGCAATGGGCAATATTATGACAGGGGCTGTGTTGTGCTAGGTGTTGCACAAGCTTAGTAGATATGAGGTCCTTGCACTAAAGAGCTTGGTCTAAGAAAAATATAAATTGGTACAGCTTTGTGTAGTTTTGTAAATAGCTTTTTTGGTTAGCCATACATTTCTTTTGATCCTCTAGGCTAGTGTTTTGGAATCCAAATGTTTAAAGTTATTTGTCTTTATAAATACTTGATTAAAGTTTCTGAGATAGACCAACCACTAACTGAAAGGGTTCAGACAAAACTTCCTCCTATGGAAAAATTATTCCATAATTGTCCATTGCAATGTTCTTACATTTTCCTTTAAAGCATCTGGTACTGGCCACAGTCAGTGTCTCAGTATTTGACTACATGGTCTGATTTTCTGTGTAACAACCTTCAAGCACCAAAAGCTTTGCTTCTGGACTTCTTTGGAGTAAATGTAGTAACATTTAATGTTTGATTAGATTACTGGGTGTGAGTATACATTAAAACTTTTAGTGATTTTAATCTAAGTGAATTCTATGTATCTTGGGTTTTAATGTGGTACCAGTCACTATAGTATTTAAGCAAAGGAATTGAGCTGTGAATTTAGCTGATTGTCAGTTATGTCTTAGTTTCATACATCGTTGGTTGTCTTGAATATGTGGTTAGGGAATGCCAAAGCATGGCAAGTTTTGCCCTGAATCTGCTAGAGATCTAGCATCTGCTAACATAATCCTTAGATAAACTCTGACTTTACTCTTAATTACATAATGCTTCATTCAACCTGACCAGCTGACAAGGTGATATAGACAAGTCTGATTCTCAGTTGGTGCTGAATGAAATGTCTCCGGGCTTGTCTACGCTACAAAGTTAAGGCAACGTAAGGCAGCTTACGTCGACGTAACTGTGGAGGTGTACACACTGCAATGTTCCTCCCACTGGTTTAACTCTGCTGCTGTGCCTTGACAAGAGGCGAAGCACTTAGGATGACATAGTGTCAGTGTAGACACTGCGTTGCTTATGTCGCCCTAAATGGCCTCTAGGAGGTGTCCCACAACGCTTACTGTGACCATTCTGGTCACCGTTTTGAACTCTGAAGGTAACTATTTTAAAGACTGCCACTTTTAGAAAGTTATAGGAAGGGTTTTTACCCCATAGGCAGAATGTGTTTAAGGCAAGTTAAAATACAGGCAATCAGTACATAAATGCAGCTGTAAACGGTATAAAAACTCATTCCGTTGCAGTCAGAATATATGGTACTTGTGAAAATATTCTATTTTGTCGTCAACATATTGCCTTTCAGCTATTTCAGATATAAAGGAATTCAACTTTTGGTGTGGTCTGTGTTCCTTTCTGCCAAATAGGAATAAACACTTGCACTAGACATAAAGTAGGATACATAGGGTTTGGAAGTATCTGTAGTTTTAGCAGTACCGTAAAAGTTTCACTTTATTCTTATGCAACCAGCTATATACTGAGAACTCCCTATAAGAGTTCCTTAACCTTATGTTTCTACAACATGCTGAATATAAACCAAATATTCTCTGCTTTAAACATAGAGGCTTTGTATGTCACCTTTTTATTGATACAAACTTTTTTCTCTAAAGGTCAGTCCTACGAAATACGGATGCTAGATAATCGGAAGATTGGAGACATGCCGGAGATCAGTGGAAAACTGGTGAAGGTGAAGTAGAGTTGTTCTCTAGATAATAGTAATGAGAGATTGATGCTGGTTGCCAAGTTAGTCCAGTGGTTTTCAACTTCTTTTCTACTCTTACCCCACATTGCAACAGGAAAAAAATTTGGAACCCTGTCTCCCCCAAACCTCTTAATCTAACCATAAAGAAAGTAGAAGCAGTCACAACCCCCAGGTTGAGAACCCCATAGCTTAGTCTGGTTGGGAGCCAGGGAATATTAAAGGAAAATTAAGTATTTTCCTTCCAGCTAACATGGCTGCATAAAATCAAATCTGAGTAACTTGACAAAATAAATAAAACTTAAATAGTATCTTAAATCCATGGTGTGCACACATGTTGCATACTCTGTCCATTTCTAGTCACCCCATCTCAGAGGATATAGCGGAACTGGAAAAGGTTCAGAGAAGAGCAACAAAGATGATCAGGGTTATGGAAGCTGTTGTATTGTGGGAAAGGAAAAATAACATTTGTCTATTCACTTTTTCCACACTATTCATGTTTGTTTAGATTGCTATTATATCCCACTTTAGTGGTCTCTTTTTTCTAAGCTAAACAGTTCTAATCTTTGTAGTCTCCCCTGCTATGGAAGCTGTTAGCATTCCTTCAAAATACGATCAAGATGGTGGTTCTGAAAATCAGATATTCTTTTGGTCTGCATATTAGGTTTTTACCTTCAACTGACCTGCCTTGCTGGCAGAAGGGAAGAACATTCTGTGTGTATATAGCAAGGCCCATAAGAAGGCAGTTTTAAAAAACCCTAACTGTCCCTCACCTTTTTGCTTTCCATTGCAACCCATCTTCTATCTTGCAAGCTTCAGTCTCTTCGGGATAGAGACTTCTTTATTTTGATTACTTTGATCATCACTGTACATTGTCTGCTCTGAATAACAAATAGTAATATCTGTCCTTAATTTTTTTAATCACAGTTGAGTATTATTAGGGAGAAGGTAGCTACTCCATAGTTAAGATTGAAGACTTGCTTTCTATTATAAGCCAGCTAAAGGGCTTTGGAATTTACAAAGTGCAAGGTAGCAGGCATCAGCAGGAGCCCAGCATAGGTAGTTTATAGAGCTCTGCATACTTTCTCTGGCACCAGAAGATCAATCAGTCATGCAGGTCTCTGGACCTAATTCCCAGATGGCTTCCATGAGTCACTTGCTCCTGCTTCCCTTTTACTTAGAAGCTCTGCAGGGTGTTCTCCTTCTTACCTCCCTGTGGCTGTCATAAATATTGAAAAAGAAAATAATAAGGAAACCAGGCAAAATCATTGTTTATTTAAAATTAATGTTGAGAGTACGTCATAACTTACTGGTTGTTGTGGGGTTTTTGTTGTGGGGTGTTTTTAGTACAAGACTGTTGTAGTTTAAACAAAAACAGACAAAAGCCATTTGGAATTCAGAGCTGAAGTTAAACTTCAAGAAACTTAAACGTCTGAAAGTATGAAATTAGCACTTTGACTCTGTCCCATATAAAGCTTTGTGTTTTGCTGTGAGTTATTGCATTTTGCAGATAGAGGAAGCTGAAGCACAAAGATTTATGGGCTTGATTTTTTTCAGAAGTGCTGAACACCTGCAACTTCAGTTGAAGTCAGTTGGTAGCTGTGAGTACTCATCACCTTAGAAAAACAGATCTTAAGTGTCTTGCTGAAGGTCATGCAGCAGCCCAGTGGCCGCTGAGCAAAGAATCC